TAGTTTGGTGACAACTCGTTAATCCTAATTGGTTGCACTTAAGGGAATTAAAACGAAAGTTATACTTCGATCTCAATTCCTATAGACCATGAATATGAGAGTTGCAAAAGATGATTCTCTATAAAAAGAGGTTAACCCTTCAAGTAATATAACGAGAATGATGGAAAATTTGTGAAGGTGATTCACTAAGAGGACTCTCAAGGTAGCCTGTCACCGGATGGCTTGGTGTATAGGTTTTGGTATGGAACCTTAAGTCCCTCGTGTGATTTAAAGACAGATCCGAGTAAATTGTTTATTGTTTTTATTTATTTATTGATTTTCATTATTGGGACTAACATTTCCAACGTTCAAACAACCTTTTACAATGGATTTTTGAAGTGCATCTTTAATTCTACATTATAAGGTTGAAACCTTATGTAAACTTTTTCCATAAATATAACCATATATTGTTAGTTATAATATTTAAATAATACATGTATATATTTAAATATTTGGGTCAGGTCCAATCTGGTCTAAACCTGAAAATGACCTGTTGCCACCCCTACTTCAACGCAAGCCGTGATTCGAGAGAGTGTATAAAACTAAGTTCATTGCTTGGTTTTTGGTATAAGAATGATAAAGGAATGCTGATTGATTGAGGAAGAGAGACATTGAGATTACTTTCTTTGCCTATAGTTGACATAAGAATGGTAAAGGAATATAACAAGAGTTAGATAGAGAAAGAGAGAGAGGAATGTAATTAGAGAGAGAGAGAGAGGAATGTAATTATACTTAGAGAGAGAGAGGAATGTAATTATACTGTGAGAGAGAGAGATTGATTTTCAGTCCACCCCTTCATTTTTTCATCAAAAAGTGCTGTGAACACCTAAGGAAAAGCAAAGCACAATTGACATGTAAAGTAAAAGAATAAGAAGCTGCAAACACTTTTGGTGGAGTTATCCGCTACTCGCAAGGGTATGTCATAACTTCTTTGTGCTGATCCTTACTGTTCTACCACGGTGAATCATGCAAAATTAGTAGGGGTGTTGGAAGGTTTGAATATGATTTTGACAAAATTTCCCTCTATTCATTTTTGTAATAAAAGGGGATTCTCTTAATGTAATCTAGTGGTGCAGCAAATATTACTATTTTGGAACTATTCCAACACAATGCCATGTGTTATTTTATTGGATTTTTGAAATCAAATCAAAATATGTGGGCAAAGTGTTAAATCATAAACTCTTATGGATAAATCGATAATTTTTTGTTGATTTTTTAGCATTGATTGGATCGCAAATTCGGATTGATCGAATCAGATGTTGGAGTTGGGTTTATGTGGCTTTTAAATGTTTTATGAGTGTGTAATGAAAAACATTTATTATAGTGGAACATAAATAAGTGGGAATGTGATCCCTCGAGAACCATACTAAGCAAATGATATTTGCTGATACCGGACTGTGCTTGCTGATCTAGGCCAGACGTTAGAAAACCCAAAGTACCTGGGCATAAAGAATTAACCGATGAGGGTTTTGGGTTAGCCCTTGATGATGTCGGAGCTTATGCCTGGATGAGTGAGCCGAAGGACTGTGTGACCCTTGTGTGTGACGGTAGCCTACTGAGACGGGGGCCAAAACCTCATCCATGTTCCATCACACGGCATACATATTGATATATCGTTCGGGAAAGCCAGATATTTACCTTTAGGTAAATCGTATGCATGTGCTAGAGATACCCCTATGCACCATAGAGATGTGGTCGCATCAGGTCGTGGTGACCTTGACTCGTCTCTAGAGGAGGACTTGTAATCCACAAAATAGGATTGCGACCCTTTGGCTTATCTGCCAGACTTTGGTGACCCGCTAATGAGCATCTGTTTGGACTGTGGGTTATGGGAAACACTGGGTTGGTTTGATAAAACAAGTGTGGTCTGTAATCCACAGTTGAAGGTGGAGTACCACATGATCGTTGATAGAATTCTTGAACCATATGGATCCACTTCCAATCATATTAATTTAATTGTATTCATTTTATTATTAACTTATTTTAGGTTTAGTATTTGAATTCTTATAAGTCATTTGATATTTTATTTCTTATTTTTGGACTATAAAATGAAGTTATTAATTTACAAAATTATAATGTTTTAAAATTCATCGTATCTCTTGGAAGTTGAAATTGTTGGGCCTTCAAAGCTTGGACATTCTACTGTGGTTAACTCTTTCTTTCTAACATGTCTACAGAGAAGAAAATATGATGGCGGACTCGTTAGCTAAAAAAGGAGTTTCTCTTTTTGAGGTGGTTGTTGCTGATGATATTTCGGCTCTATTGTAATCTTCGTTGATTATTAATAAAGTTATATCTTTTTGTCAAAAAAGAAGAAGAAGAAGAAGCTGCAAAAACTTCTAACTCTAATAAAAAAAGGAGGAAACATGATCATTACATAAATTTTGTAAGGGTATTTTAGATGGGCAATGTGATATTATGGAAAAACATAACCAAAATATTTTATGTTCCCGAAGGAGCATATTTTCCATTCATCCCTTGGGTGAAAAGCACGTTTAAGTGACGCTGCGAATTCCAAAAGTGTAGCACTTGCAATGTTTGTTAAGACGGAAGTGCAACGTCGTTTTGAAAAATATGCGTTCTTGGAGAAATCATGGCTTCCATGCTACCATGTAGAAGTTGTGGCATTGGAGTTGGTAGAAGACGTTGCTTTGGCAAGGGCCTCTTCGATTAAACAAACACACTATTATAATACTTTAGGACTTCAGATTTTTAGGATGGATCTTTCTTGATCTAGTGACCAACCTCAAAAAAAAAAAAAAAAAAAAAAGAATCACAGTTTTTTTTAATGTGTCTATGTGTGCCCAATAAAAAGCAGCCTCCCTATATATCTGATGAAAAGTAATACGCTAAGATTGAATAGAGACTGTCTAATTTAGAGTCAAGTTTCCATGTACTGAAAATTCATGCTTTTAAATACTCATCTTTCAAAAATAAATCCTATAATTTAATATATAAAAAATATCTTAATGTTTTCATTCGAGAGAATAAGTGTACAATGTGCTCCTACGAGAGTACATCTAACACCACGAAATATAATTCTATATTAGATCCTTTTAAAGGGAAGAGGGGCTTAAATGTTACAAAGTATTTTATTTTATTTTTTGAAAGGAAAGCATGAAAGAATAATCAGAATCGAAGCAATGGATAAAGAATTGCCCAATGAAAAAAAAATATTGTGCCCATTCTTTCCTAAAATTGATTAGTCTATTGAATGCGAACAAGAGTCCAATGCTCCAAGAATCGTAATTCAGACCTTAATGCTAGGAGATTGATAATTTCATCGCACTATTCATTGATCTAATGGTGCAGCTTATTAAAAACCCCAGAAAATAAAAAACATAGTGACTGTGGACATTACCCCTTGGGGTGACTTCTCACTGAGTTCTTTATATCACATCCTACATGCTCATGGACAATGGACCTTGGGGCATGTCCTGCATGGGATGCCATAGTCCATACTTCATAAAGTTCAAGCATTTTCCTGGCGTGGGCTAACTATAGTTATCAACGACGAAACAGACCGATCGGTCTATCTAGTCGCACTTTTGATTGATGCCTTGACGTGGTTAATTTGATCCAACACAAAAATTGAGTTTGGTTGAAAAACGACCAAAACCAATGCTTGACTGGTGAATTGGCTAGTTTTGATAGTTCAACTAGCTAAATAAAGTGAGGCAAATTGTTTGAATATATTTTATATATTCTTAAACTATTATGTCCAACCGATTTGACCAATGGTCAGATTAGACCAGACTCATCTCTGATTCATTGACTGGTTTGATCTTGATAAAATTGGAGCAAACTTCCAATTATATATAACCTAAGCAAGAGAGGCTTTATAATAACCAATACCTGTCTCACGTGTGAACATTTGGGGAGACTTGCAACTACAATGTTTTTTTAGTGAGATAAATTTGGGTTTGGGCCAGCCAATTTGTTCATTGGCCAAGCCCAAATAGTATGACAATGATGATGAATTTGCTTGGTTTTAAAAATCCGTAGGATGTTGCAACGATCTATTTTTATATCTAATTATAAAATTTTGATATCCAAAATATTTAAATCAAGCAAATCTATAAACACATGAAACATTGAATATGGGCAGTCTAGATAATTTGTTGCAATATGTATTTTTTTAAGACCGGAAATCTCTCTTCTTTCTCCATATCTATGCATCTTGATGTTGAGATGATCAATTATATGTTTTTCCAATATCAAAACCATATTTTTCAAATGATTTAGAGGTACACTGAATTCTACATTTTAAGGTGACCCTACAAAATTAGGGCATTTGGCACAAAATATGACCCGAACGCTAGGCCGATCGCAATTATGAGAATAATATGAGGGTGTTTACGGTATTTTGTATGCATAGACCAATAGTAGAAAATGAGAAGCAAATATTGAAAAGAAGGAAAAAGCGAGGGAGTTTAAAATTTTAAATTTTGGGAAAAGCAAAAGGCCGAAAGTGAGAATCAAATTACTGAGTCATACCCACGCAACTTTCTCTAATTTTCTCTCTCTAACTTTCTCTCATAAAAACCATTCATTTTCTCTCTCATCAACCATTCAATCTCTTCCCTCTCTCCTCCCAAAGCTTTCATCTCTCTTATCCTTCCTCATCACCCCTCTTAACTTTCTCTCTCCTCAGTATCATTTTCTCTCTATATTACCCCCCTCTCTCTCATCCTATTATTTTCTCTCTCTTTTCTTTAATTCAAAATTTTAAAAAATTGTTCGGCTTGAATCGATCTTACTGGATAATCGATTACCGATTCCAATTCTATGTATATTATATAGAAAAACGATTGAGTTTATAAAAAAAATTAATGGTTTCAGTAGTTTCGTAAATAAAAATTGTGATTATTTATAGTAAAACATTGATCTAGACCTTTTGATTTACTGATCTGATCAGATCCGATTTGATTGTTTTCCTTGTTCACAATTTTTTGATTTGTTTTTTTTTTTTTTTGCTCAGTCTCCCAACTGAGCCACTTGGTCACTGTTCGTTCCCCCTCTCTTCTCCAACTAAATTCTCCCTTCTTTCTCTCTCTTCATCATCCAACTGTTCCCTCTGCCTACCCAAATTCCCCATTTTTTTCTCTCTTGACCACCGACCTTTACTCTTTAAGCATCTCTGCTTCTCTCTCTCACTCCATTCCCATTCTCTCTCTATCTCTAACTCTCTCTACAACTGTTCCTTCTGCCCACCCAACTTCCCCTTTTTCTCTCTCTTGGCCACCCACCTTTACTCCTTAAGCATCTCTGCTTCTCTCTCTCTCTCTACCTCTAACTCTCTTTCTCTCTCTAGATTTCCCATTCTCTCTCTTTCTCTCTCTCCCTCTCATTCTCTCTCTCTCTTTCTTCGTGACCAAGTATCCAATTTATGCTATCTTTCTCCTTTTCCTTCCTGTCCTCTGCAACTCATTCTTTGCGTCCAGCTCCATTTCCATGGGGACATCTCCTAAACGACTCGACTTCTCTCCTCAGCGATTAGTTTCAGACATGGCGTCTCCTACTCCATCTCAAGTGAAAAATCAGAACAATGGTAAGTACCCTCACTTCCTCCTCAAAGGCCTCTTCATAGCCGTAGCCGTTGCCTTTGTCCCCTTCCTTTCTTCGCTATCTTCTTCTCAATTCTCTGACCAATCCTCCCTGACCAGAAGCTGGGAGCTTCTGCACCTTGTTCTCATTGGCCTCGCCATCTCTTATGGCCTCCTGAGTAGAAAACACAGTGTTTTAGAGAGAGAAACTGAGACCCAACAAATCACAACTCAGAATTATGTCGCCAAACTCCTTCAGGTTTCACCTGTTTTCGATGAAGAGATAGAGAGCTTTCATCGTTCTGATAATGGCAAGGTCTCGACATGGAATTCTCAGTATTTTCCTGGTGAATCTTTGGTCATGGTGGCTGATAAAGACCAGGGTTTCTCTGACGAGACCAGGCCATTGCTCCTCCCTGTAAGGAGCTTGCGATCGAGCCTCTCAGACCCGAAAACCGTGGATTTAGATGATGGAGGTGCACACTTTCCGGGTTCTGATTTCGTGGGTTTTGAGGGCGGGTGCAAAAATGGTGACGTGGGTACTTTTTCTAGGGTTTCTAGTGGTGGGGAAAGTTGCATTGATGGTGAAGTTGGCTCTGGTTCTAGGGTTTTTCGTTGGGAAGATGGTGAGCTGGGCTCACGTTCCAGACGTTTTAGCTGTGACAATAGTGAATTGCGCTCTGGTTCTAGGGTTTTTAGCAGAGCAGATGGTGAATTTGGCTCTAAACCCAGGCGTTTTAGCAGTGACATTAATGAATTAGGCTCTGGTTCCAGGGTTTCTAAGGGCGGTGATAAGGTGAAAAATGGGGAAACTGGTTCTGATTCTAGAGCTTTTGGTGAATTGGGTCCCCCTTACAGGGTTTCAAGTGGTGGTGATAAGGTGAAAAATGGTGAAACTGGTTCTGGTTCTTGGGTTTTTAATGGAAATGGTGAGATGAGTTCTGGTTCTAGGGTTTCTGGTGTTGGGGAGAACGCCAAAAACGGTGATTCGAGCTCTAGTTGTAAGGTTCAGAGCAGCGTTGAAAAGAGCAAGCGTGGTGATCTAAGGCATTGTGATATGGACTCTGGTTTTAGGGTTTCTAGCAATGGTGATAAGATGAAAGATACTGATTTGAACTCTGGTTTTAGGGTTTCTTCCTCCCCCAGAGGCGATAAGATCAGAAATGGACAACTGGGTTCTGGTCATAAGGCTCCAAAGAATTCTGATAGGGTAAAAAGTGGTCCTTCGTATGGGGTGTCAAAGAGCTTTGATCCTCTGATCCTGAGAGAGAGACTAGAAGAAACTGTTCTTCCTTCTCCAGTTCCATGGAGATCGAGATCGGGAAGGCTCGAAATCACGCCTGCATCGATCGAACCGGAGTTGCAGAGCTTTGATGATCAACCCTTTCGATCCCCAATTCCATGGTCTTCTCGTCCTAGTTCCTCCTCATCTCCATCTCCTAAAAATCTCTCTCCTTCTCCCTCTGTCTCTCTGGATTTTGGATCCAAAAACACAGAGACCGAAGTGAAGAAAAAGCCACCAACCCCCCCACCCATGCCACCAAGCCTTGCTACATTCAAATCTCAAGCTTCTCCAAAACCCTCTCTTCCCAATAATTCTCCTCCATCTGCCTCTGATCTTTCTAAGAGCCCAAAAGAAGCACAGAAGAGTAAGAAACAATCATTTGATTCAGTAAATAGGGATTTCGAGACAGAACCAAATAGAGCCGAATCTCCACATGCAGGGAAATCGGTGAGAACAAGAAGGCTAGGTAAAAATGAAGCTTTAATGGAAGAGAGATCAGTGAGAAAAGCTGGTAAATTTGAAACTGAATTTACAGAGGAGGCGAAGAGATTTGGTGAGACTGAGTATGTCATGGTGGAGAAACCGGGAAAAAAATGGGACCAAGTTGGAGTTTCAGGTGGCTCAAAGCCTCCTCCTCCACCATTAGAGTCTGATATCGAGGAGGAAGAATTCAATTACTACGAGAATAGAAAGAGAGAGAAAGCGAAAGAGAAAGCGAAGGAGATAGAAGACGATGGTTTTGAGAGTCCCGGAAATGTTTCGGTTCGGAAGAGAGAGAAAGCAAAGGAGAGAGAGCAGGAAGGTTTACGTGGCTATTCGAGCGGTGGGATTCTGAAAGTAAACGCGAGAGACGAGATTGAGAGGGTGACAGTCGAAACCGATGAATCTGATGGCGAAGATGTTTCGAAACATGTTGAGCCTGATTCAAATGAGGTTGATAAGAAGGCAGATGAGTTCATAGCGAAGTTTAGGGAGCAGATTAGGCTTCAAAGGATTCAATCTATCAAGAGATCAAGTGGCCAACAAAGCAAGAACCAGAGGTAATTCAAACTCAAAAGAAATTGAAGGTGGGTCTCATATTTATTAGGCTGGATCCACCTGTGTTGATTTATTTTGATATGTAGTGCGCTCTCTCTCTCTCAATTGTGGGTATGTTGTGAGTGTACATGGAATTGCAGTTCTTTAGACATATAGCTGAAGACTGGAGAGTAAATCATCTCCATGAAGGGGAAAAATGTAGTTGTAGTTCAAGATGAACCAATCCCTGTACATTCAATTGATGTACCCTTTCTCTCTGTCTCAACTTTGGTGCTATACCAACAGGATCGGTCTCTCTATCTATCTCAACTTGAAAAATGTAGTTGTAGTTCAAGATGAACCAATCCCTGTCCATTCAATTGATGTACCCTTTCTCTCTGTCTCAACTTTGGTGCCATACCAACAGGATCGGTCTCTCTATCTATCTCAACTTTGGAGTTATACTATCAGGATCTCTCTCTCTACTTTGGCATTATACTTATCAAGGTCATTTGCACATATGAGGAGATGGGAGAGTTCATGATTTCCATGAATTATGAGAGAATGAAGTGAAGATTTTACAGATGCCATGTTTAAATCCATTTCTAATGTTTGCTTTTTCTTCCTTTGTTTATGATATGATTTGGTTCTCTTTCTATTTCTTTCCCCACCTATCCCATATTTGTGGGGACAATCATTCCCTTGTGTGCATCTAATGTCTTATATTGGAAAATGAATTTGAGAATTTGTTCTCAAAAGGATTTTGATTGCCTTTTTGTAATAGACATGGAAAGGTTTGGTTCTCTCTCAAAATGTTTTTCTAGGATTTTTTGAGAGAAGTTGACCTCTAAATGTTTGTCTAGGTTTGCTTCTCTCTCTAGATGTTTGTCTCAATAGATGGATGTGTGTGTGAAGAATAGCTCTGTGTTTGGCTTGGTTCCCAAGAGAATTTATGCATATAGATGAAAATTTGATGAACAATCAAGAGAGAGAGAGAGAGAGGGGTGCTCCTTAGCATAATATATTTTGGGTAAATTTTGATAATATGGTCAAACTACCTCAAAAAAAAAACTAGGGTTAAATTAAGAAATTTTTTTTATTTAAGGGCTCAAACAATTAAATTACGGCATACCTAAAAAATTCACTAGAAGATGGTCCTACAATGCCCAAAAATCGTCAAATCGATCATCTCAACTTCAAGATGTATGGACATGAGAAAAAAAGATTTCAAGTCATGAAAATAGTGCATCTTGTAATGTATTTTATGGGCCGTCAATTTTCAAGATTTTCAAGGGTAAATAGATATGCTTGATCCGCACTATTTTAGAGCTTTGTATCTCTTTATTTTTTTTGGAAAGGTTAATAGAGCTTCTTATCTTATAATTAGAGATGAAAATAAAATTTTAGGCTATTACAAAGATTTTTTATAGTAAAACATATACTGACACAATTTGAAGGTGTGCCTTAGTTTGATTATTTGGGGCCTCGGCCTTATACAAACCACACCCTTAAATTAATTAATTTAGGAGTAAAATGATTTTTGTTTGTTTCTTTTGTTTTTAAGGAGAAAAGATTCCATGAATAAAATGTTGTTTTTAAAAAAATTATTAACTGGGTACTATCTCAAATATTTTATTAAAAAATGCTTAAATTGAGTTGTTTGACATTGGAACCTCAACAATTGAGAGCATTTTGGTAATTTGGATACTTACATGATTTGATTTAAATGACTTAAATTCCCCTTCTTTTTTTTTTTTGGGTCTTAGAGGTGGAGGATGGGTTTTTCATAGAAATACTTTTTATGGGTTTGAAATTTAGAGTAAGTGTGGGATTTAGGTCTTTAAGGCTCCAGTGACTAAAATAAGGCCAAAATATTTGAAATGCTCATGGTGTTGAAAACGTGAACAAGTTTTTTGAATTAAAAATTTAAAGCCTTGTATAGGTAGGGGTAATTAAGTCATTTAATTCAAAAAAATCAAGTCGGTTAAATTACTAAACTGCGATAATTTAAAGTTACAAACCTGGACTAAGGGTAAGTTAGCATTTTGAAAAAATCTTGAGGAGGTAGTTAAATGAAACAGATTTTAAAAAGCGGTTCATCATCATCAGATCATTTTCCTAATTATTTGGGGTCAGCTATACGAATCTTGGTATGCCATTTTGATTTATCAATGAACATATCTTCAGTGAGGCCATAAGTTCTCATGTATATTTTTTTCAATATTACCAACCATCTCTTTTTATGCTTATCTCTTGCCCTTCTTGAACTTTTTACTTGAACCAACTTGCTTCTCCTAATAGATGTTATATTGGGTCTGTGCTGCATATGTCCAACCTACCTAAGTTTACTTTATTTCATCTTATCCCCTATTAGAGTCATATTTAAGTTCTCCTTAGTGTATTCATTTCACATTCTTATCCCTTCTCGCCTTGTCATTCATCCATCCCAACATCATCATCTTGGCTCTACTCATCGTATAGTTGGTTGTTTTTTGACCATCCAACACCGCAACGCTAGTCTTACAACTATCCTATAAAGCTTATTTGTCAACTTCATTAGTATGCGGTGATCACATAAAACTCCGGTTGTACATCTCTACTTTGTCCATCCAGCTCTAATTCTGTATGCGACATATTTTTTAATCTCTTTAATTTATTGAATTATCAATCCAAAATATCAAACGTGCGATCTTTTTGGTATTTTTTGACTGTTAATATGAACTACTTCATTGTTATTATTAAACTTGCATTTTAAAAGTGACTATCATCTCATTTATTTTTTTCTAATTTTTTTTTAAACTGATGATGTGTTGTTCTAGCAAACATTTTTTTTTAGTTTGGTTATCCTTGTCCATGCACTCTGGCCACATTTTGGTTGGATATATGCACATTGAAAGGCATAAAAAAGAGATGAAGTTTATAAATGATATTAATTCCAAGAGAAAAGAAAGAAGAGAATGAAAAAAAAGAATTATTAGGGAAATGCAACAAAAAGAAAGATGATCCATTATGTGATTGGCCTAAAAAAATATATATACCCAAAAAAATGACCCACCTTGTTGTCTTTATATGTTTTTCTTTTGTATTAACCGTGGCAGGACCATTAAATTGGACAAGTGCCATGCATCCATGTGTAGTATGAAACAATGCTATTAAATTCACTTTGTTTCGATCGCTTTCGGATTTAAGCATAAACCGAAGCAAGGATAAGCGTAGTG